AAATACAAAAAAAAAAAAAAGAAATAATGCTTACCTAGGAGGGGAAACCAAAAAAAAAAAAAAAAAAAAAATATTTTTAAGATTACAAAATTTCTTTTAAAAATATATTTAAGTAAAACTTTAGGTTTTTTTATTTGCCTTAATCAAATTCTTTCAAATAATCTTTATATAATACATTTTACTATATTATTTTAACAATATCAAAAATTTTTTCAAACTCAAAAACTAAAATTAACTCAATTTTTTCAAATGATCTATACAATTTTAATGACCAATCAAACTTAAATACTTTAATTTAATAAAAACTAAACTGATATTAACCTGTTAAGAATAATAACAATAATAATTATATACAAAGATATATCAAAAACATATTAAATTAAGATTAATTTTTTAAAAATTTATTATATTAAAAAAATATTCCTATATAATTAGGGCTCTTAATGATACCATTTTGATATCACTTTAATATCAGTTCAATATTTAAATTTACTATAAAATCATATAAGTAGGTTACAATTTATATATTAAATTTATTATAGATTGATATTATTTCAATATTAGTTTGATACCAGTTTGATACTTTGAAAACTCTATATATAATTTAGCTTAACTATTTATGAATAAGTATTAGCTATTCATGGATTACTAATAATTTGTTATTATTTATTAGGTATTTTTATAAATTAGAGATTTCTATATATAATAGACTAAAATTAATTTTTACCAATGATAATATAGAATTTTTAATGTACTGATTATAAATAATTTATTTAATAAAAATTATATATTTATATTTATAATTTTTTTTTATTATATAAATTTTAATAAAAATTTTAATATTTTTTTAATTGATCTTATATTTTTATATCTTTAAACAAATGTATTTTTATATAGTTAAAATATTATTTTATTAAAAAATTTTTTTTACAATTATAATTAAAATATTTTTTTATTTAAATAATAGGATTTTTTATAAATACTATTAAATATAAGTTTTTACTGTAAAGATAATCTACAAATATTGACTTTATTAAACAAATAAGATTTTAATCCTAATTAATAAATGAACAATATATCATCCTTATAAATCACATCTAAAGACTTCATATCACAGACAAGTGAGTTGAGTTGAGAAAATTTATATATACAATCTTTATTTGTAATAATTCATTTTGATTTAATAAATAAACAATATCAATTTGAATGAGAGAAATAAAAAATTAAATATAAGTTTAAAAATAAATTATTTTTATAATTAAAACTTATTAAATATTTTAAAATTATTATATAAAATACTTTAATATTAATATTTAATTATTTAATTATTTTAAAAATAAATATTAAAATATAAATATACACTAAGTATAAATTTATATAAATATTAAAATATAATTAATTTAAATTAAACATTTGTAAAGATAATTTGTAAGTTATAACTATTAAATAAAATAAATTTTGATTTTAACTTATATATAAGCAATATATTATTCTTATAAATCATATCTTGAGACTTATTATAGATAAATAATCTGGACTAAAAAGATTTATATAGGCAATTTTTATTGTATTGGTTTGTTTTTAATTTAATAAATAAATAACTCTAGCCTAATTGAGAAAAAATAATAATTTAAATTAAAACTTTAAGTTAAATTTTTTAAATAATTAAATTTATTAAAATTCATTTTTTTATTATATTTTTATTGTTTATCTTTATAATAATTTAAATTTTTAAATATGCTTTAAAATTATTTAAAAAATTTTATAATTATTATTTTAAACTCTAAATTTAAATAAATCCAAATTTTATTTTATTTTTTTATCTATTATTATTTTTTAAGAATTTTTAATTAAATAAATTTTGTTTTTTATTAAATTAAAACACTTGAACAAACTCATTTTTCCTGATGTTTCCGTTTTTTTATTTCAAACCCAAATATTTGGATAACAAATATAAAGTATATTTGTATTTATAAAAAATTTTTTATTAGTAAGTAAATATTAAAGAATTTTAGAAAATAATATCCAATGTATTCTCTAATACTTTCACTTTTTAGTCTTTATGCATTGATAATAACTGGAACACTGTTTTGGTGATCTTGTTTTTACTACTTGCGATACTTCTCTCCAATTGTTCCCAAATTTTTCAAGAGCCTCCTGGAATAACTTCCTTTCTTCTTCACTCCAAGCTCCTTGTGCAACAAATGGGTTCAAATGTGCGTTGTTACTGATAACCAATTTTACAAATCTTAATTTCCTTTGTGGAAATTTTTCCATTACTTTCTTCCAATCAAATCCGACCTCTTTCAAAGTTTCACGCAGTAAATCTTTTTCTTCATTGGTAAATTTATAATTTTTAATGTAAACATAATGTCTTCTTATATGATTCGGTGGCCTCCCCAGTATTCCGGCAAATTGATCCCAACGCGTTCCGTGGTCGGAAATTAATTTTTCCAATATTTGATCTTCTTCCGGTGTAAATCTGCCTCGTTTATTTTGGCCAACAGATGCCCATTTCTTTTTAACTTCAAACGATTTCCTTGTCCCTATAAATTCTGCTATCCGTTTCCATTCACCCGCACCAAATGTCAACAATCCCATACGAAATTTTTTCTCCTCCTCTGGTGTCCAAGGTTTGTTACTATTGGATGAGAAAGCTTTGAGTTGCCAATTATAATATTTACTCATAATCGAAACCAATGTTCTATCTACAGAAATTTTTGATTTGATCAATCTCCAATTTTTACCATACTCCTCTATTGCTCCTAACAGCTCTTCTAATTCTTCGGGTTTCCATCTGTTGTGCCTAGGAGAGACACTTTTCAAGTACTTTGTATACTCTGTGTTTGAATGTTGGTCGACTGTGGGCTCTGTTGAAGACGCCAAAGACTTTTCTTTGGTGCTCATCGACCTTGAAACATGTTTGTTGCTTTCATGATGAGACTTTTGAAATGAGAGGGATAGCGAACTTTCTAACTTCCACCATTTCCCCAGATATTTTAAGTTTTGGAATGTTGGAAAATTTCCAAGGGGTTTAAAAAAAGATAACATTTTTTATTCTAGTTGAGAAATTCCAAAAAAAAAAAATTTCAATATCAAAATATCACGTGAAATAGACTACCAATCAGATCTAGAAATCAGATCTGCGATTAATCATATACCCTTCTATCGATTCCGATTACTAATAAAAAAGAATAAATGTCCAGCAAATTCATAAAAAATTCTAGAATTTATAGCCCCCCGTTGCTACTACCTCATAACAATTTATCATCTTCTCCGTCTTACCTCGTTTCAATCACCAATCGATTAATAAAAATTATACCTCTTGATGTAAAATATGGTAGATTAATTTCTTCATGTACACCCTTTTCAGGTCATTTTAAAAAACCCATTCCTAGAATCGGTCAACGTGAACGTGAGAAGATAGATCATGATGATGGGAAAGGATATGCAAATCAAAGAGTACATATCACGCAAAAATCTAATGGAAGACCTGGAACCATAAGAGAATATGTAAGAAATTTGAAATCCTTAAACCAAAACGGAAAAAAGAAAAAGGCGCCTATAGCATTATATGACTCAGTTCACAACAAAAAATCGATTGAAAAAAAGTTTGTTGTTGAAGAAACAACAGCTATGAAGGCAACAAATGATGCGCAAGCAAGAATTAAAGAAAAAAAATTAAAAAGGTCCCACGGAAGACGAGATAATTATGCTACAAACTATAAAGAGGCGAATCTGGAACTATTTAAAGGTGCATTTGCATGGGATTTTCACGAAATCAGAATGATTTGAATTTAATTAACTTTCCAATTAAAATGTTATAAAAATGATTACAGATTTTCCGGCTTGGTTGAAAGGATTACGTTTAACAAAGTATACACCGTTATTTGCCAAAATGGATGAAAATAGTATTCTGAAGTTAGATAACTCCATGTTGAAAGCTAAAGGTTTGACATTAGGCGCAAGAAATAAATTATTAAGAGAGCTGAACAAAGTTAAAGAGGTTAAGAAAAATAAAGAATGAATGTAAACATGCAATCCTCTCAGGAAAAAACCTGTAAAAATATAAATGCAATAATTTGACGCGACCTGACACCAATAATGAAACTTGCTTAAGTAATACGTGCAATTTTTGTCCCACGTTACATATCAACGTTGCTGATAATAAATCCTTAATTTAAGAATTAATATAAAATTTTTTTTCGATGAGAATTATTAATTTAATTAGATGAAATATCTATGTATAAATCAATATTCTGTTGATTATCCATTATTTTTAATAATTGTTTTTATTCTTTGTGATATACGTTTATAAATCAAGAGATTGACATGGTCAATCAGATAAAATCTTAATTTTATTTTTTAAATTCATTGTTAAACATCTTTGGCAATATAAATTAAAGTATTATTATCTTAAAACAAATATTTCATATAATTAAATTATTATTAATTAAAGGTAATAAATGTTTTTCAAGCATTTTAATATAATATTATTTATTTAATTTACTATTTCTTTTACTAATAAATTTAATTCTTTATTTAAAAAGCATTTTTATTTTATTATTCTTTTATCTTCAAATTTTACTATTAAAATTATATTTTCAATATTATATCTTATATCAAAAATTTATTTATATAACAGTTTTTATTTTTAAATAATTTAATCTTTTTTTTCAATATGCTATTTTAAATAATTTTTTTATTGATTATTTAAAGATAATTTTTGAGTTAATATATAAAAAAATATTTATTTATTTATATAATTTTCTTTTAATTGCTTTAATAAAAACTTTAATATTGATTTTTTTAATAAATTTGTTATTATTTTTTAACAGTTTTTTTAAAATAGTTTTTTTTTAAAAAAATTAATAATTTTAGATATATATTTTTTTAGCAAGCTGATATAGATCTTTATTATCTTATAGAAAATATTATTTGGTATATATACTCAAATGAGATATATAATCTATATAAATACTAGCCTAAATTATATAATAAAATAATTTACTAAGATTAACTAGATATAGTACAATACTAATATCTACTGTATGACTTATTGTTATTTTATAAATTCTATATTATTCTTTTAAATATGCAATCAAAAATATTTTCTTTTCTTTTTTTTTTATAACTCTTATCTATAACACAATATCTTTTTTATTGATTGTAGATATTTTGTAACTAAATCTTATCTGATTACAATAAATAGCAATAATAATACTTTACTATAATCAAATAGCAAATGATTA